TTACCAAAGCATTTCATAAAAGAAATGTATTTTTCATTATATAATCAAAACTCGGGGTGTCATGTTCCGATATAGACCAATAAGCATAAACGATAACATTACAAGTCATTCAACAAATATTTACATATACAGACTTGTAAACAAAACAACTTGATGGTTCATCCATCTTACGCCCTTGCGCCACTTCCTGTAATACAAATAAAACTGAGTGGGTCAGGCTTGGGAGTCTGGTGAGCATATAGGGTTTTCAACCCACAATAAATAATTAAATTAATTATTATCAACCAACAATAACCCAGTTACCCATTCCCGTTATTCTTACTTTATGTCCCTAAAATAACTAACACAAGGGACCTAATCTAAGAATATTTTCATCGGGGTGACAACACATGCTGCGGGGGTTCCTCAGCAATATAAGTCAAATAAGGCAATCATGAGGGGGATGGAATACAGCGAATGAACACCCAAGTTCATTATCACCTACAGGTTATGAGCCTGCTAACGTTCCACTGGACTGTCTAGAAAAGTCTGTGGTTGATATGTGCATAATTAGTTTAATTATGTAACATATATTCTTAGTTATTTTTGGTTAGTTATGAGAATAATATGGACAAAAGGTACTTAAAATGCTTTGAATTGTGTTTTCAGTCCAAAAGATATGCTTGGAGGCAAAAAGGAGAAAAGGAAAGCAAGTGAAGGTTAAAGGGTGAAAAGAAAGACCTACTCGGCGAGTAGATCGACCTTACTCGGCGAGTACACGATGAGATGCTAGAAGATATGTACGACTGCTGATCTGAAGACGGATAAGTATTGACCTACTCGGCGAGTTGATTCTGCTACTCGCCGAGTACCCTCTGTTTTGAGATATCTTTAAAAGACGAATCCTTATCACATGGGACAGAACCCCTGGCGAATTTTGAAGAATTAGCTGCGACTAAAAGGTTCAGAAGGCGCTGAAGAACCCTAAGCTTCAAGAGTTGGAAGAATTCAAGCAATTAGGTTAATTCTACCACTTAGACTTAGGAATTAAACATGTTTGCTTTCATAAACTTTGTTTCTATGCTTGTTTCTACTGCAACTATGAGCTAAACTCGTTTTTGTTTATGTTTGGGGAATACCAAAGAACTCCTATGGTTTAATTATTGAATTTTGTTTAATTGACTATTGGTGATTTATTAAATTAAGTTTGTTAAAGAACCTTATGTGTTAATCACTACTATTTTCTGTTAATTGGAAGGCAATTAGGTTGCATGAACATCACTTAATTGTTAACCTCATATGTCTATGTGAATGCTAAAACGTATGCTTGGAAGTAATGAGTATGAAACTAAGATTAATAAGAAAATAGGAAGATTAATGTGTGAGCTTGTTTGAGAAACCATCAACAAGAGGTTAATTGAATTAATAACTTAATTGACCATTACAAATCTTATTTAATCCAAATAATTAATCTAGGGAATTAATTAGTTTAAACACTTGATCAACGCTTAAATTAGTTAATTGTCTAAGGGTTAGGAGTAATGAACATGAACCTAACTATTATCATTGGTAACCAATAGCAATTAATCTACCTTAACTTAAATAACCATAGGAGTGAATTGGTTGAACCTAAATAGAAACATCTTTATCAAATTTGGTGAATAGTTGTTGCTTTAGTTAATTAGTTAAATTTAGTTTGCTTAAGTTTCTAGTCTTGCAAAACTAGAGAAAAACCATTTACTTTTATTATTTGTTTTAGTTAAAATTAGCTATTAGTTTAATTTCCGTTCCCTGAGTTCGATACCTTACTTATCAATCTATACCACTTAAAGACAGGTTCACTGCCTTTGTGTGCTCAAATTATTAATAAAAAGTAGGGATAAAACTAGTTGAATTTACACACATCAAGTTTTTGGCGCCGTTGCCGGGGAACGGTTCTAAATAATTAAGCTAATTCCTAATTTTTTCGATCCTTTGTGTGAGTTTACTTGCATAAAGTTCATTTATTGCAATTTAGTAACTAGTAATTAGGTTTTAGTATCTGTTTTAGTTAGGTTAAAAACTTAGAATTTTTTTTGAAAAATCACTGATACTTGCCGAGTGCACTCGCACCTACTCGGCGAGTAACAACTTATTTAGAATTTTTTTCCTTTTATTTGTTTACAATCTTTTTGTTCTTTTTACGCTTTTATTTGATTAATTTCAGGACTTTCATGACCAGAGGAGCAAACACACCACTGGTACCCCCGTTTGAAGACCCCGAATCCGAATTGAAAAGAAACAAAGGGAAGGACGTGGAGAGTTCAAGCACACCAAAGAAATCACCATTGTCCAACTTGAAGACTGTTTTCGGGAAAAAGAAGAGCAGCAAATCAGGAGCTTCAAGCGCTTCCTTAATAATTGAAGAGCCAATTCAAGAAGAGATTAGATACGAAACCGAGGAAGAAGACGAGGCAACTTACGAACAAGACACCGAATCGGAGGAAGAGTTAGCATTCACTATGGCTAACATTGATGAAATTCCCATGGGAGAATGGAAGAAGAGGATGCGCGACGACCATGGCCCAGGACTTGTGCAACCCGCAATTCCCGCAACTGCCACCTTTGAGCTAAAAGGTCATATCCTAGCTTCACTCAAGGAGATACCTTTCTACGGGAAAGATCATGAAGATGCCTACAAACATTTGGATGAAGTAAATGATGTTGCAGATTACTTCAACATTCCAAATGTCACCCGCGAAACTCAGCTGCTTCGGATGCTTCCGGTAACCTTCAAGGGTGCTGCTAAAGACTGGCTCAAATCACTTCCTCCCGGGTCAGTCACTACTTGGGCCAGAATGAAGGAAGAGTTTATTGATCACTTTTGCCCACCATCCAAGATAGCCAAGCTCAAGAAGGCCATTGCAAATTTTGAACAACAAGCTGGAGAGTCGTTATATGAAGCATGGGAGAGGTACAAAAGTCTGCTACGAAATTGCCCACACCATGATCTAAATAGCCAACAAAAAGTTTCCATCTTTTATGATGGAGTCAATGTCACGACCCGGCAGCTGCTAGACTCACAAGGCCCACTTACAAAGAAGCCACCCCCGGTGATCAAAGAATTAATTGAAGAATTCTCTAAACACTCTAGAGAATACCACAACCCAAGGAATGATGTCACGAGGGGAGCCGCATACGCTGCTACTGAAGATTTATCCGCGGTCATGGCCATGTTAAAAACCATGGATAGAAGAATGGACAAAATGGATCAAACTATCCATGCCATACGGGTGGGTTGCGAGAATTGCAATGGACCTCACCTCACTAGAGATTGTGATTTGGATGAGCACGGC